ACGCCAAAAATGGAAATTCAGTTTTTGAGATACCGAAGCGTCCACAGGTGGAGCGGTTTAGGAGATCCAATGAAAAAAGTAACAAAAAATGCTATTTGGCGGTCAAAACTGATACATTATATAAGGTTGCTCAGAAGAATATAACCATATTTATTTGAACCGAACATCACACTTAAGCCCTATAATTATTATATGATTTTATTATATGAATTGAACGCTTATATTTCAAGGCTTGTATGAAAATAATTCTAATCAATTACATGCAGTAGATTTTCGATGGTGCCACTTTGTATGCGGGAAGCATTAAGCAGCATTTTCGACATATTTTACTCTTTTGCTACAAAAAAGGTAAAAATACTGTTTAAGTCAAAATAAAATTGACCGATGTGTATGAAAATGACGTGTTGATAGTACGACAGCACCGCAACTGGTTTTGCTAAATTTTATTCCTGGCATTTTGATGTCCAAGATCCACCACGTCCAAGAAGTACGGTTGAAGCTGACAAAGACACGAGAAAGGCATTAGTTGATGAAACCCGGCGAATAAAGTTAAAATTGATCAAATTTAACAGTTCATGACCACTTGAAAGACTTGGAATTTTCCTCGTAGCTCAAGGTATGGTTCTCATAGAAAAAAAACTGTGTCATCGCACTGGCGTCTGTGATTTGCCTTTGAAAAGTCCTGGAAATTATCAGGTTTTGATGTGAATTGTCATTAGGAATGTCAAATGGGTCATACAATTGCCCATTGAACAAAAAAGATGAACCTGCTCAAAACAGGCGCAAAGATGAAATTTGCCAGAAAAAGTTGATGCAGTATGTTTGGTAAGATTTTAAAGAAGTTGTTTCTTTTTCAGCTTTTCGAGGATAACATAACGGTTAATTCGGATGCCCTATGTCATCATTTGGATAAAATAAATGATGCACTTCAATATAAAAAGTCAAATTAACCCACAAGGAAGGTATAGTACTGCTTCAGCAAGTTTGGTCAATCGCCAGAAGCTTTTGTAGCTTGAATGGAACTCAATGACACATTCATTATATTCTCCAGACCTGCCATCATAGGACCATTATTTGCTCCGGCCGTTAAGAAAATTTTTGATCAGTTTTTTCCCAATAACGACCAAAAAATTTATGATCCCAGAATTATATGACTAATACCAGAAATAAGACAAAAGATGTTCGACCAAAAATAGCTAATACATAATTTATTAAAGTATTTGTTTATTGTACGAAAATTACGTGCCTAAATGTCTATAGAAAACGAAGATACTTTCCGAACAATCTAATACATTTTTTTAAGAGATTTTAATAATAAGAACAAATTTTGTTTACAATTCTATGAGTGTTATCCGTTATGAGATGTTTATTCGTTAGGCTTCGACGTGAAGCTCATGCTCTACGATTTTTCCTCTCTATACAAAGTTTGAAAAAAAATCTTTGAAAAAAAATTCAAAATTCTCAAAAATCAATTATTTTGAGTTTTCAAAAAATTTAAAAGCTTTTTAAAAAAGCTTAATTTTCGGTACATGAAGTACCAGCAATTTGCCTTAAGGCACGGTGCCATGCACCACTAGTTTTTCATTTTTTTATGCGAAACACACTATTTGCTATGTTTGTTTTAGAGTATATGCTATATACAAGTAATCAAATTTTGTATGCAAATGCATGAAATGATGTGAATGTGAATAGAAATTTTCAAAAAGCTTTACTTGCTGTAATAAATAAGTTAATTGTTATATATGAACTCATTGCCATTTTATGTAAAGTACTTGATTTGATTATATATAATGTTGGATCTGTTATTATTTACTTTTTAAATGCATATTTTCTGTAGTGGAACTTTCCATAAATATTGCAGAGCCCGCATTAATTTAATGTTCATGTTAAAATAAAAAGCTCGTATGTTATTTATTTTCCTTCAACTAAAAGCTTTTTTGACCACTTGCGGGATTGAAAAATATTAGAAAAATATTAACAATTTTATATAAACTATCAATAAGATTTAATTATTAAAAAAATTAAGATAAACTAGTGGTGTATGGCATCGTGTCTTAAGGCAAATTGCTGAAACTTCCCGTACCGTAATGAAATATTCGAGAAATTTTAAACGTTTTCGAATATATTATTTCAAATACTGTAACTTTCATTGTTTTTGCTATCTTGTTATATCCGAGCAAATCAAATGTAAATCATAAATCAATTTATCTCCAGAACAATAACAATCGTCATTTCATTTCGAATCCAATTAAAAAAAAAATTCGCCTAATTTGCGCAAAATTGAAAAAGTGCTCCCATATAGTCACAGTCTAAACGCATTTGCAAATAATTCTGTGCGACATTTTCACTTGTACAGCGCTTAGCTTGGCGGCATTTTCACATTTTTCAATAGTTTTCACAAAATTAAAAAAGAGCTCCAGTACATAAACAGTCTAAACGCACTAGGATACACATTTGTATCAGAGTGGCGCTTGGACTGTGCTTAGCCTGGGTAATTTTTTGAATTTTTAATCCAAAATTACAAAAAATATTTTTTGAAAAAAAAAATTAGAAACAAAATTTTTTTTTCGAAGGCAATTATTTTGTTGAAACAAGCAGAAAGTTCTTTGAATCATCTAAATCGGACGCTTAGTTCTCTCAAAAACTGCAATTTTTTAACATTTAGCCATGTATCTCCGAAACCGCTAAGCCTACCTTTGCCAAAAACTAATAACCACTTTTCCCCGTCATTATGAACTGAATGTTTTTTGGATCATACAAATGATCCATTCTCTCAAAAACTCGATTTCTATTTTCTTGCACTCTTTGCTCCATATCTCCGTAACGGCTGGACCTGCCTTTGCCAAAAACTAATCAGCACATCTCCCTATTAATAGGAATCGAATGTTTTTTAAACCATTCAAATCGGTTGATCCGTGCGCCCGAAAACGTGGACGAAAAAATGCGGACATACAAAACACACACACATCCATTTTTTCTGAGGTATGCCAAAATGATCAGAAACCTTCAAAACGTCGAGAAATGCAAAAATTTTCATTTTCGATTTTCGGCCCATTACTATAACTACCCTACGGTAAGTTAATTATATAAAAATGTGTACAAAATTTTATCGTGCTAAAGTTTCCAGCTATTGAAAATGTATTAAAACCAATATATTAATACTACATAAAAATCAATTGTTAATGAATGCAATTTGGAAATTCTTAGCGTTTCTCTATATAACCAAAATTCCTAAATCGTCAGTTTTAAGAGCGATCAAAATTAAAAATTAATGAAGATCTTTAAGACATATTTTATAATATATGATGGAAAAACGGTTTAGCCGGTCGGCAACCCCATGCACTCTGTAGAGACAGGGGAATAGAGAGTAGAGACAAGACTATGAGAGCGAGCGCCAGATCAATAACCAGCGTGGCACACAGCAGCAAGCGCGAGTCCACCCTCCTAAAACGTTCGGCTGGGGCGCCGCTACTGCTCTACTGTTACGATCAACTATTGTACTTTGTTCTAGAACATCGTAACATAATATTTTAATTCAATGAAAAAAATCAAGAAAATTTGATCTTATTCAACTTATTTAACAAACAGCATAAACCTATCATTTATTAAGCATAAAAAATAAGGATAATCTAAGACAATTTATCACTGCATATTCTTATTCATAAAAAGAAAATATAAAAAAAAAAAAATATGTCACAACTATATCAAATGTAAAATTGCAAAACATAGAACTAAGGTGACCATACGTCCCGAATTTTGATCTTTTGTCCCAGATTGTCCCAAGTTTTTAAAAGTATAGATTTAAATTGAATCTTCGCTCTTACTTGATAATAAAATTACAATCACCCATTAAATATCTGAAAGTGATATATACAAGTATGCTTATAAAAAACATACGTTATAAATAAGCAAATTGCCGAATGCAAAATTCGAAAGCGGATTAAAATATCCTCTCACATTAATAATTTCAGTTTTACGAAAATTAGCAAAAATTATGAAAACAAACTGTATGACTGTCTAGCACAAACGCTTATTTTTATTAATAGTAAGTAAATTATGAAAATTAAACAGAAATTTATACAAGGATTTGCAGCGAAAAAAAAAAAAAACATTGAAGAATATAAGATAGAATATAAATTATATTAACATATAATCTCATAATAAAGTCCTATAAAAAGTCAGTAATTCTAATTAAAAAAATCTATTTATTAAAAAAAACTGATTTGTAATTTACCCTTAAATAGTATATAATATTTTAAATTAGGCATAAGTTATTTAGCAAAGAGATTCCCCTTCGTCTTGGATTAGCATAGCCACCAACTTCCGTCCCAATTTTGGCATAAAAAATATGGTCACCTTAATAGAAAGCCAATTACAACCCAGAGCGAAATATGATAAAATGCAAAAAAAAACAACTGACGCAAGACAAAATAATGTCCAGAAATAATTATTTAATAAAAGTCACTAAAGAAAAATCAATAATAGTAAAAGAAAACAAACTGATGCCGAATCGAGAAGTGTGAAAGAAGCTCCAGAGTTGGTTACGAACCAACGTTGCCATGACGACACATAGAGTCGATCAGGATGCACTGTGCACCCCTCTACTTAACTTATCTATATACATCGCAACGTGATGCCATGGAATATCCACTATATATATTTTATAATGCCCCCTGCACGAATTCACGTTCTGAATTTGCCAAACGCTAATTTGATTTATTGTTTCCCGAATTATGACAAGAATAAATCGAGAATTTCACTCGGCTACAAGAAATAGAAGAATTTATATTGCGAAAAACATAACACACATTGCGTTTTCTATTTAAATTCTATTTACTATTAACTTCAAAGAACCCTAAGTTATGCATGTTCACTTACTTTATAAGAATTAATTTTCAACTCTCCAATTGCCATCATTTCAATTTATCAAGCGCCATCTAATGCATTAGATAGCGTTAGGTCACTAAAAATTAATATTTTAGCAGAAAAAATTGACTTACCGTTGTATCACTGTCGTGTATGTTTGGTGTTGTATTGCGACTTGGTCTCCCTGCATAAACCTGATAAATCAGACACATAATTAAAAACTGAAGAATCATATTCATCTATGAGGTGCATTAGTTTATACAGTTAAAGTTTAGAAAATTACGTATATTCGATTGTAGATTTTTATTGTTTTGATGGCACGTATGTCCTAAATTATGCTCGGTTTCAAGTATACATAGCATACGAGCGTACAATTCAACTGTAAATCTAAGTTTTCAATTTAATTTTGAATCAAAATTATTAGCGATCATTCTATTTTTATCTAGAATGCTAGTAATAATTGTCTTTACACAGCGCAAACCGTAGGAAAATTTCGAGAAAATACCATGTTGTGGCGATGGTTACTCTATTTTTATAAAACATTCGGCTCCCCCATGAGGTTGTAAAGTTCTATGGAGCGGCTTTCTGGACATTAAACAGAAACGAACCACCTCGGCATGAACATTTATTTCTTATCACATCCCCAAGATGAAAAAAGGTGTAATAATTAATTTGTTTGATTGCACCATAATTTCATCGAATAAAAATACCAAACAAACTTATTTAGTGAAAAATGTAAGAAATCTCATTCAGTACATTAAATACTCAATATTTGATATTAAAGAAATAAGCCAAAATCTAAATGAATATTTTAATTAATATAATAATAAAATAACGAAAGTCGTAAACCTCACATCATTTTATTACAACATTAATAACAATTATCCATTCAATTTACGTCACATACTTCAATATCTAGTTTAAACTAATTGCTTTTTTAAATTTACGGTATTTACCCTTGTCCATTGTTTGTTTTAATTATACAATTAAATAATATATAGCAAAGTTTATGAAAAAAAAACTTACATTGGCCGCACTATATATACATTTTATTGAAGATGAAATCGGATTCTAGAATGGAAAGCCACTTAATGATATGTTACTATCTTTAGAGGTTCAGGGCTAAATCGGTTAAAATATTCGAAAATAAAGATATTTATTTGTTGTCCTTACATTTCAATATCTTTTGATTGTTTAGCATACCTTTAACATTCGAAATACTCGCGGGTAACTATAGTGAATGTGCATGTACTAACTCGTTTTTGGAAGATTTAACTTATTTCATCAATCAAATGTATGTTTATGACAAAATGATCGGCTTATTTGAATTATTTAAAGATTGTATTATGCTGACGATGTAATTTAAATAAAATGAATAATTCTACCCCACTGTTTGCGTCTATTTGTTAGCGTGTTTTGTAAAAATGATTCAAATAGCATTCTGAAGAAGAAAAACATTTTTCGTTGTTATTATAATATATAAACATTTACCTGATGGGTTGGTGAGGGTGCCGGGGACGGAGGCGCTCTACCCGGGCTACTTTGTTGACTTTGCGAAGCGGGCGGTGGTGCACCTGTCGGAATACTAGCACCGCCGCCGGCACCCCCACTAGGGCTGCCGCCTGGAGAAGGCGCACCTGAGTTGGGCCATCGTTGCACATCTCCGTACTGAAAAGAAACAAGAAAACACATTAAAGACCGAATCGAAAATCGTTTTTCCTACGCGGAGACCGCACTAAAAATCGCCAAATTTGTATAAATAAAAAATTGAAAAATGTAATAATTTAAAATAAGATTATGCCGCATATATCGTGTGCCCACAGGTGGGCACAAGATCCGTTCACAAATAATCACTCAATAATATAAATTCATTTAAAGATGATGTAATGGAGTTACGAAAATATATAATATATACGAAAATATAGCAATATGTTTTCATTACAAAATATTTATTAAATCCTCAGGTATATCAATTCATAATTGACGAGACTTATTGAATTCAAAGTACATGTAAAGTAAGAACACGGAAATTGTATTTGTTTCTTTAAAAAATTATAAGATAAGCATCGTGTGCATAAAATTTTTATTCTTTTATTTGATCTTTTTGTATTGCATTAGAGTCAAATATTTAAAAGTCTTCGCAAAAAATGGTTAAAATTCATTTCTATTACAATCAATAATTATTTCACAGTTACTAACTCAGTTTTAGTGTTATGCGCTAGTGCCAATTATAATGTACATTCTCCAATTTGTTCATAAAAATTCTCTTATTTATTTTTTATATGTCCGGATAGTGCGAAGGCTATATCGGTAATTTATTGTATACCTAAATTCTAGACAAACAAAGCACACGTAGAGATCATTAAAAAATACAGGAGAAAATCTTTTAATTGAACATAATAAGCAATTATATATATATATATATATATATATATATATATATATTATAATAGTTAGAAATAATGGCAAATCATTTTTCGTTTTCCTTGGCAAACAAACAAATATATTCCCCATGAAAATGTTTGTTGTGTTTTCGAACCTAATAGAATTATAATGACTTTATAATTACCAAATTCGAAATGACGCGGTTACGAAGTGATTAACGTTTTTATGCAAGATGCTGCAGAATATCGTTCAATGTTTTAGAAATTCTATAGACATTACGTGCATATTTTGTCAATATTTTCTACGTTAACTAGCTAATAAAACGATTTTTTCCCCTCTTCTCCACATTTAAGATATATACAACAAAAAATTTTTGAACCATTTTTTATGGCTTATTGAACCTGATAAGTGATAAGAATAGTTTGAGGTCGTTTTCAAATTCTATTTTTATACACATATTTAGTTTAGAGAAGAAAGATCCAACTATGGTGTTGGCATCAGAGGCATTGAAAAACGAATTCCTGATTTTATTTCTTAAAAAAAAAAATCATACAATCTTATATGTACGTGCCATAAACATGATGGATACCGTATATGAATTCACCATTCATTTACAGTTTAAATTTTAAACGGAAATTTCGAATATTCTAAGAAAGAAGAATTTAATCAAATTGAAGCCTTACAACTAAAAAAGAGGAAAGATACAAAAAGTATGTGAAAAATTAGAAAAAAATCAAAAATAAAAAATTTAATTTATAAAGAAAGAATCGGGCCTTTTTGTTTCGTTTCGGGTTACTGACAAATTACAGCATAAGTATGATTGACATCGGAATTAGATTTTAAATATATATAGTTGCATAAGTGTTGTTTCTTTGCAACCTCAAAATTATTTTGAACTTAAAAAAATATTTGAAGTGCTATACAAAAAAAAAAAGAAATGCACTGAATAAAAGATGTTTAGTATAATTAAGTAAAATACTTATTAAAACGAAAAGAGTGTTTTAATAATAATAATATATATAAAAATCTAATATAGATTTTTGGGCAAGTAATATCAAAATAAAAATTTACAGGTGAGTTACGGAGAACTATTATGGAATATTTAGCGAAAAATATAAAATTAATTGAAAACTCAAATAAATTTTGATATTATTTACACGTGAAATTATAAATATCAAACAAGAATAATAAAAAATATTAAATCTGAACCGAGAATTGAACCTCGAAGCACAAATTAGAATTCCACGACGATAAACACTCGATCAATCTGCTATTGATAAGGAAAAGCATTGCAACACATGCATGCTGCGCGCTGCTAAAATGCAAACTGTAATTTTAATAGTTAAACCGCTGTTTATAAGCCTCTAATATTTTACCACAGTCAGTTTGGGCATCAAATCTACCATTGTGCCAAGTTTCATGAAAATCCGAGACGAGCAACGCGCGGATTCTCCTTGTAAGAAATATAAGCGAAGAAAGTTATTACACCTATTAAAAATAATAAAACCATTGTGAAGTTCTGATTGTGCAAGTTTTGAAAAATGTAGTGAGTTACAAGCGAGTATTAATTTACATAACTCTCAATTTTATTTCTTTCTTATTTCTTTTATAGAGAAACAACGTAAATCACTAAATAGTCTTCAAAGAAGCAAAGTTATATTGAGAATAAGACAGCAGAAATGGATGGATGTGAAACATTTCGTGCGCCATTTATGGACAAAACGAATTTAAAAAAATGCTTAATATTTCAAATAACTCTAATAACGCATTACAAAAGAATCTACCGAAAGTGAGCATCTAAAAATTAAGGCAATATAAAAATTTATGCAGAATTCTGTTAGTAATCAACACGTAAGTTGACGATTGAACGATCTAATGGCTGGCTGGCTTCTGATGTAACGTTTTGTGAAGTGTTCATTTAGCTCTGAGACCAAAAGACAATAACAATGCGGTCATCTAACCTGATGCGGCGGAAACGGTAGCCTCTGCTGCGGCGGCTGTGCTGTGGGTCGAGGAGGCGGCGGGTAGCGTTGCTGAGGATAGGGTGAGTAAGGCTGTTGCGGTGCACCGCTGCTGCTACCTACGCCGCCACTACCCGCTGGTTGCGGGAGATAACCTCCAGCAGGCGATGGTGGCGCTGCATTGCCGGCCGGACCGTACGGCGGCTGAGGACACCGCGACGTCGGCACCTGCGGATGAAATGATATCTATTTGAATTGTTTGATTGACATATTAATCAATATCTAAGGCCAAGTTACAATGATCCTCTAGTTTAGGTATCGATGCTCAGGCAGCTTGGAAAGATTGAAATGATTATTACGAAAATTGAAAATGCATTGTGCCTTATATAAAGCTTTTATATATTCATAAAACCGATCTAACTATTTAAAGCAGGGTTCGCCCGTAGGTAAGCGCTTAAAAGCGATGCGACTTGATTCAGAGGTCCCAGGTTCGATACCCATTTCGAGCAGCCTGTTGTCAGGCGGCAGTGATAACGATTTTCACTTGGAAATAAAGATAGCAATATGTTTCCAAATACAAAAAAAAAATTAAAAAACCAAGATAATTAAAAACATTATTAGAAAAATAAAAATGTATTTGTTGAAAAACAAAATCATAATTCATACACTTTGTGAACTTATTAGGAATCCTGGTTGTTGGGTAAAAATACATGAATTAGCATTTTCTGATGCATACTCATAATAAGTCGTATGTGCAAATGTTCCTAACGAAAGAAATATTTAAAAAAATGATAGCATATAATGATTCCTATGTAAGTATATACTATATGAAATATAGACTTAATAATGTTTAAATTCGTTTAAGAAGAGGTATGAATCCACATTTCTTAGATTGAGTAAAATCATTGTTTTTGTAGAACGGCTCTTCAGTGGATTAGTGCCCATCTAAGATTGAAAATATGTTAGTTCAAGTTAATGCCATCTAATCATACTTGCTACATATTCAGAATGTTATTTCCCTGGTTCAAGTGCTCGTCGTTAAGAAGGTAGTAAGTAATCACTCCAATATCACTTAAGTAGGAAAGTGTCAAATAATTCCAATCAATCGATACAAGCATAAATAAACTAGATCCATATCGTATTTTACTTGATTCTTATCGACTCGAATTGATTCGTTCGCCTCCTCTTCCAAATTATACCTGCCGTTCAATTTCTGATCTAAATAATACGAATCACCGATGTTTGGAATATATACGAATACGAATATATACGAAGCGAAATAATATATATGTGAGCTTTTGGTTGACACTGTTAGCTTTTAAGCATTGCGAGGAAAATCGTAAATAGCAAAGCAATATAAATCTAATATAACTCAAATGTTTTATTTCATTTCGTAAAATGATTTTAAATTTTCTCATCATAAATCATGTCTTTTTTAAAAGCTGAAGAACACAATAATGAATATTGAATATTAGGCAGTGAAAAGTATAAATCATAGATCACACAGAAATGAAACAATAGTAATCTTTATTGTGACGTCGCGTACCATAAATTTGGTACAATTATTCATTGTTCATGTCACGCGTACGGCTTTCGATTCAGCGACACATTGAAATTACGTCGGCAAACCACAATGTAAACAAACTACTTTCAATCGACGCACGGTTTGGATTATCTTATTGGGTGGTGCTATAAACAATAAATATTTTATTATATTTTAAAACAAACTAACTTGCGAACGTATTTACGCTATCAAAATAGTTTCTTTTTTATAATACAGTATAGCAATATTTATAATTTAATATAAATTTATATGGTTTGTTTATTCATATTGCAAAATTGTATTGTGATTAAATTTTATTATCTTTATTTTATATTAAAAAGATAGAAAAGTTGCATTTCAAAAAACACCCATACAAAGCTACAACGACTTGTATAATCATTCGGTAATACTTTTCAAGCAAATGTCTGTAATATAATCAATCTGAAAAAATACGGTGCATAATGTAAAAAATTCGCAGCTGAATTTAACGAATTTAACTAATTGAACAGCCAAGGTGCATTGGGCGGCCTGTTTCAACTTTCTTTTTAGTTTTGGTACATTCAAGATGATCACGAAACAATGGATCACTAGTACTAGACTAGTCTAAGAAAAGCTACGCATTAGGTTTACCAATGCAAGATCATATCACTTTTGTCACGAAATTGCTCGCGACTTATAAAATACAGACTCGTGATCATGTTAAAAGTCGCTGAACGAATTTTTGAAGGTCGCGTCACTCAAGTGCTCTTCGACTTTATTGCACGTTTTTTTAACGATATTGGTACTTTTCTATAATTCATAGATTCCCGGCTTCAACACACTGGTACAAGTCTGATTCGTCCAAAATTCTGGACCGACTGCGAGTAAGTAAACATTACTACATAATAGTGAATTAATTTTCCTTGCCATGAAGCAATGTTATAAATACTTAAAAACCTCTCGCACGTTTTTACTGCATGAAATTTTTTGTTGCAATATAGGAGCACTTAATTTACCAAATATTTATACATAGCATACCACAAAGACAATTTTATTGAGATTACTCACTTTCACAACATAAGTAAAGCAAGAATACACTGAAATAATCAAATTTAATATATATAATACTATATTAATGATATATTTAATAAGATAGGTATCAGAGAGAAAATTCTTTATAAAAAATTAATTTCTAGAAATGCCAATAAAAGTTAACTCATCTATTATCAAGAGTAAAAAAATTCTTATTTAACTTGTGTTAAAATATAAGTACTCAGGCACAAAAAAAACAAAATAGATAATGGCTTGACCACCAAAATCAGTATAGTGAAGGAATGAAATTCGTTGTATTATGATACAATTATAATAAATAGTTCTTTTTTGAAAGCGATATGAATAACATTCAAAATTTCAAAATATAGAGAAACATAGTACATATAATAGGCCAAAATTCTCGGTTACACAACATAGGGCAAGGTCACAATAATTTCCGGTAATGTAATGGTTATTCTCGGTTACATGTTACATTTTGTATGGTAAAATGGAGATAACATTAAGAAGAGCCAACTTCGAGAAAACATGATTTGTCAGAATAAAATAAGTGAACTGAGAATAGCCAATCTTCCACATGTTATCACGGGAGAATAATAACATAACATAGCTATGTTATACAAGAATATACCCAAAAGTCTACTCTACATTAAATAATCTCTTCTCTATTACGGCGAACCCTTATTTGTACAAAATGCTATGAAAACTACAGTAGCAATTCTCTGTTACATGTTTTCTGGGCATATGACAATAACAGCAGTTCCAAATAAGAGCTAACCTGGTGTTGAACTCATACATATGTATAGTAATTATTATATATAATATGTAAGTCGAATGTTATTTTCACATTTGCGCTATTTGGAGGTTAGGATTGTTTAAAATTTAACAATTGAGAGTGCCAAAAAATTATTTTATTGCTCAAATAAGCGCGATAGGTATAACAGCATTTTAAGAGTTTCGAGACTACACCAACCCAACGAGAGCAACATAAGGAAAATCAAAATAAATCACGTGCAACGAGAAAACCAAACATTTAAAATGATCGAATTTGTGACACCATGGGAGACCAGTAGCCTAATTTAGCTATTTCATCCAGAAATTGGCTTAAAAATTAAGATTCGGAGAAAAATAAATTGAGACAATCGTTACACATAAAGTAGGATTAGAATTATTTCATTTTTATAATTGAAATTAAATGTTTTATTTTCAAATTAAATCTAAAATAAATCTTCTTTAATGTGCTTTAGAATAATGTTAATATATAATTCTAAAAAACCGCAATATTTGCCGAAATTCATATTTGAAATTAAATTATTTGATTGTTCACATATAAAAAGATTTCGCGAGCATGCCATATTATCTGTCGAATTTGCATGATCATTAAACAAAATAAATTTAAAATGCATTAAAAAAAATTATGTACTATATTAAAAACGTTAAATAATACGAATTTTTTGCCGTAAACTATCTCATGATCAGTTTAATTAAAGAATGATAAAGACAAATATTAATAAATAAAAATATTTATGAACGTATATGCATTATTTCCACTAAAAAGGCCTTTACGAAAAGAACAAAGAGCGAAAATTTAACAGAGCAGTAGTAAGTCTTATTTAATTAAAAATTTTATCTAGTGGTATTTTAGCTTACTAAGATTATTAAAAAATATAGATGCTTAAAATCAATAATAAAACATTTTATTTAAAAACCTCCACAACATTCGATAGGAAAAAATGTAATTGTGCTAAATTTCGGTCCTGCAAATATATAAATTATAAAACACCATATCTAGTAAGCCAGTGAGGGGGTGTGTGTGATATTGTCAAAAACATGAATTCCCTGGCGCAAGCCACTGTAAATGAATCGCTGGATACGAGGGGGCGGGAGATAAATCGATGCGAAAGCCCGCCAATGGGAACTCGTCGGCAATCGCTCCTGACCAATGGCGAGATTCCCTCGTCGGCTTGTGTATTTTCCAAATCACATTATTAATAATGACCCCAGTTCAAACAATCTATAATATTTGTCTGTTTGTCCTGATCCTTTTATCTATCTAAAACAATTTTTTTAAACGCACGATTCGATCTTCCAAAGTTTGATATTTCGATATAAATAGATTTGTTTAACGATGGCTGGAGCAACTGAAAATTGTGTTCAAATATTGAAATATTAGCGAACCATTCATTATTCTGTACAACTTACATTTATACGCTGAAAATCTAAATAACCAATGCTGATACTGGAATCTATTAATCCACCGACATACATACTCTATAAATAAAACTAGAATTAACATTGTAATATGGTTTTTGGTCAATATACAAAATCCTAATTACTCACATTTCAAAAACAACAAAAAAAGCTTAACTGGAATGAATTGTTAGTTCGGACCAAACATATATATTGTCTTGATCCAAATGGCGTTTAAGTTTTTCAAATTTGCAATAATTTAAGCATGTAAAGTCAAGATAAAAATAACTTGATCAACAATGGATTTCTAATTGTATTTGACAGAATCAGATCTAGTTGCAAAGCAAAATATGATCTTTAAAAATCCGATAGGTACAACACCTTCTACATAGCCTATTAAGTATCTCTGATTTTTCAAAAAGCGAGATTTGTTCCGGATTTAGATTCTTTGTCAATAGGTAATTCT